TCCCTGAGGGGAGCCAGGTAAGGGTGTGTCATGTCCCTTCAGAGATGAAGGCCAAGTGCAACTGGGAGATCATTGACACAGGCACTGAAAAGATCAGACTTGGCTAAACCTGTGATAGCAGAATGTGTACCAATTGCCGAGTGGATGGAGTGGATGGGATCAGTAATTCCCATAATGGTAGGGACTAGGACAAGGGGCTGATTGGGTGGGACCACAGCCTTCAGGTAGCAGTCATCCACTGTCTTTCCACATTTAAGAACAGTCCAAATTTGGAAAGGACAAGCACTGGGGATGATCGCTTCTTCCTCAAAGGTTTCTTACAGCATTTTTCAATCCTGGAGGGATTGGACACTGGGCAATGCTAACTAATTTAATAAGGGATAGGGACCATGCAGTTGTATTTTTGTGAAGCCAGTGGGGAAGTGCTGGTGAAGACTTAATTTAAACTCATGAACTGTTGGTTCAGAGCTGTTCTACTCACTATGGGTTATTTTAGGACAATCGGTGCTAGGAGTGTGAGAAAAGGCAAAGATTTCTGATGCTTCAGGCCAAGTACTCCACTTTGTCCTCTATATTGTTTCGGTAACTCCCCTGAGACCATGTGCAACCTCGCTTCAATGACTGAGAGCCCAGGTATAACTGCAATGTAACGTAGCATTGAGTTATTGTGTGAGGGTCTGTCAATTACTGCATTTCAAGAGATGGCAACGTTCATTCAAAATCTATGTTTTAGAGGCTCAAAAGCCAAGGAGTCTCCATTTACCTTTCTTGTTTTGAAATTCTTAGTATATTTTGGATTTCCAACTGGATCAAATTGTGGACTTTTTATAATCTATTTCTTTTTTGTTTCCTTCTCCTTTCCTTCCTTGATTTGTATTTTAGGCCACTGGATAAACATGGGGAGACTGGGTGTCCTCTCTACCCTGGTATCTATTTTTTTTTCCCCCAGAGGGCCTCAAATCGGTGCCACAAAAATAGTCACTGTATAGGATTTAAGGACCCAGGGCTGAAATGCTGTTTGAACTAGTCCCTTTGCTGTGCCACAGTGAGGCTGTGGATTGTCCCCAATAGCTGACGG